AAATTATTCTCATGATTTTAATTCTTGTCTTTTTTTTTCAAAAAAAAAATCAAATTTTCTTCTTATTTCAAATTTTCTAAATACTATAATGTAAATATATGATCTATTGAAAAAATGATAAATAATTTATTAGTTACATAAGATCTATTTTTGAATAGATTGCAAATATTTAATAGAAAAATATATTCAAAAAAGGTAAAGATGCGGCAATTGATATGGATGTATCAACGCAAAAATATTCAAAATCTTCAAAAACACTAAATGATGATACGTCATAAAATTGACATCAATTTTTTGATTTTAAATAAAAATATTCATTTGATACTACTCATATAATGATCTATAAGTTGAAATTTTATTGCAAAAAGATTTAATCTATATTAAAAATGATGAAAAATTGTGAATTCATGAAGATGGACAAAGAACAATATTCCACTGTTAAATTTAATTTGAATGTCACTAAATTTGAACAATCAAAATTTTAAATTTTTTTTTGACTTATTCATATATATATATATATATATTATCTTTGATTTGTCTATTCCACGAATATAGAAGTTGCATTAGTGAGATCAAAAGTCATCTTAGATATTCAAAGTGATCATACCTAGTAAAAAACACAATCTTTTGACTATTTTATCTACAATTTGAATTTGATTGTAATTGCTCTTTAGATCCAATTTAGTGAAGCATTTTGTTCCTTGAAGATGATAAAAAAATCTATCATACAAAATTATAGATACTTGTTTCTTGTTGTTTCTTTATTCAATTCGAGGTAATCTATGCATATCTCATGCTTCTATCTTTATTATTCTTTATTTTTATACTTGGACTCTATGAGGTGAAACACCTGGTTGAAAATATCCACTGTTTGACATCTATTCCACTTAAACTTTGCATTCATTCAATTTGTTTGGAGTCAAAAAAATATGAAACTTATCAAGATGACGTGCTATCTGGTATCATCTTAATCTTGTACTCTACACTACTTTTCAATGATAATACTAGAAATATATTACCTAAAAAGACATTGTTATACACTATAAATATATCATTCAATAAATTCAAAATATTAAGTTTTTGTGCATCCAACAATAAGTTACAAGAAAAATACATCATCTCTGAAAATGTTGTTTTATGCATCACAAAGAGATAAAAAAAATTTTAAAGATATAATACTATCTTCATGAATGTTTCATTCACTACTTTTTATCGGTTTTCTTTTTCAATCTATCTTCGAGTTGTATTGCTTCATCTATGATATTTCTAAAATGATATAACATTAAGCTAAAAAAATTATTCTCATTTCAATTTTCTTTTTATATCTACTTATTGATAACTCTACATTCCTTGCTAATGTATCTATTGTTTTAGTTTGATTGTTAAGCAATACCACATTTTTTCATTAACATCAATACTAATTGCATTGCAATATTTTATAACACAAAAATTTTATTCCTTCAGGATCAATAAGAACTTTTATTTTGTATTCTTTTATTGTGTCATCTATTAAAATCAATTGATATTATTTCTTGCTTTTTTCATGAGTTTCCAACAATTGTACTCTACCAATCTTGAAACTTTTTTTGTTTTGTGAAACCAATAAGACCTCAAAGTAAATTTATTGATATATGTTATAAAAAATATACGATATTTACATTTCAAATTTAAAGGTAGTATGTTTACCAAATTGGCTCAATATTATACACAGTTTATTAAATATTTTTAATTCAAACACTTCAAAGTCAACATTACATTGCAAAATATATATTATGATGAAATAAAAAAAATTGCCATAAATTTGAAAATGCACATATTTTATTTTAGTCATCATTGTATGTAGATATTTCATATTTTTATTTTTCTAAGAATTTATATATTTTTAAAGACTTCAATTTTTTCTATAAGACAGTAAATTTTTACATATCTTATCTAGTCATGACTAAATAATACATACTTTGATTGTAAAGAAAATTATTTACACATAATTAATAATATAATTTAATTAATCTATGAAATCATGAATCTAAAAATCAAGAGATTTTAATCAAATGAACCAAAATCAAAAATTCATATTTTTTAAATATATTTATAGCCTAATTGAAAAAATTTGCACTATAAATATTTTTCATAAATTTCAAGCAGGAGATATAATTGTCAAAGTAGTCTTTTTTCTTGGAAATCAATCAGTATCATATACTAATATTCACAACTTGTTCATGAAAATTTTTGAATTTTTTGATGTTGATGATAAAAAATTTATCTCTCAATATCTTGGATTTGAATTGTTATTTTTCACAACAATTAGTCATGACATAGTCATCACAATGTCAAAATCAATTCTTTAGTTTTTATGACATCATGCTAAATCTTGAAGTTTGTAACATTAGTTGTAAAAATATTATTTTTTTCCATTCATTCAAAATTCTAAAATATTAAGGAAATCAATTTATACATGTTTGACATTTGTCTAAAATTCATAACCTTAAGTTCACATAATTTTGTAATAAACTATTTTGAATAAATTTTCAAAGATTTAAATTTAAATCCTATGATTTTTTTAAACAAAATTTTGAATAAATTTTATGAATCAAGAAAAAAATTAAAGTCAAATTTTCAAAATCAAAAGCAGAGATAATAATTAAAACGTTTAGCTGGATCATACATTTAAATAGAAAAATAGGCATAAAAAATTCAAAGAGATATATTTTGAATTTTGCAGAGTGTAGTTTATAATCATGATACATCAATGATATTTAAACTAAATAATATGGTTTTTATTGATTGAGCTATGTGGCAAAGTAAGAATATTGAACGTTATAGAAATGTGAGATATAAAGCAAAAATCTTGATTGGTAAAGAATGAAGTTATCTTCAATTTTGAAACACCGTGAGTTGTCTTGTTACAATCATAGAAATACAGTGAAAAACATTTTTTAAGATAAAAAGTAATATCAAGTCAATTTTTAGTTATAATCATCAAATTCATTAAACTTGACATTGCAATGTTGAGGTGGCTAGATCAATACATTAAATTTAGAGTTTCAAACACGTGATTGTAGAAAATAACAAGATGATTAAAATGCCGTCAAGAATCAGATATATAAACAAGAACGAAATTTCTAGCAATAATGTAATAACATTTCGAACTTCAATGTCAAAATACATAGCCTACATCAAACAATTGAATTTGAAATTTGTGATTAAAAAAAACATAAAGATTAACAACTATGTGAACAAGTATGAACTTTTGAAGTTATTAATATAGTATGAACATTTTATAAGAGCGGCTAGAAAATCTATATGAACACAATTGGTTGGATTTTAAAAAACATCTAATACTTTTACAAGAGAAATGGTTACAATGATAATTAATTGAAGATGGTATATAATGGTTATCTCCACATGTTGTGGGATAAATTATATAAATATATTCAAATGAATGAATTTCACATCTCAAGGTGTAATTTGTGAGAAAAAAAATTAAAGAAAATTTGATGAGAAATATTCATGAAAATTTACACTTGTTTTTCAAAGATATATTTTTCGCTGATCTTTATCAGGATCAAACAAAAAAATTGATGGAAAAAATTCTCCAAAGATGTAATCATTGACTCTAACATGATTGAAAATCTGAAGTATAAGCTAATCATGAATTCAAAAAGTAGAAATTTTGGGGTTGATCAAAGAAAAGTTTATGAGATTATTGGAATATTACAGAAATTTTAAACTTTTTTATAAATAATAGCATGAGGGTTTTGAAGTATCAAAGATTACCAAAAAAAATTTCACAAATTTATTTTTTAAGATTGAAATCTATTTTTTAAAGATTGACTTAATTGAAATAGTTTAAAACACAAAGTGACAGTTCAAATTTGAATTACGCCATAAAAAATGCAAAATTGTATATATTGTCATAATGTTAGTACATTAGTGCTAGAAGTTAACTTGATTCTTGGTTAGATCAGCGTTAGTTATGCAAGTTAGTTAGTCTCTAATTATATAAAAACAGTTTTACTTTTTAATTACACTTGGTGTGTTCCCAATGATACGCGGGAAGTGAATGAAAGTGGACTAGAAACCACATGGAAATCAAGTGGAGTCGGAGATCTCAATGGTAATTTTCTTGACGCAATAAACAACTAACATGTTAAATAACATGCTCAAATTGATAAATCTAATCTAGCATGTGATTCACCTCATATTCATAGACACGATATAGTTTTATTGGACACTAAAAGTTATGTCATTGAGAATTGCAACCAGTTTTTTTATTTAACAAAAAAATTGATTGACTGAAGCTGACCGGACGTATATTATTGATTTTGAACATTTAAAGAAAGATTTAAAATTTAAATATACTCAGACAAATGAAAACTCACACAAATTATTTCAATATAGTCAAATCCACCTAAGTACTAAAAAGTTCATAATCATAATTTAGCCATCATAGTTTCGGTTTTGAACACTTCACACCTCAAAATCACTGAAGCCGTAAGATAAGTTTCAAAAAGTACCTTAAGCAATTGAGTGGACTTTAGGAAAGCCTAGGCTACAGAGTTATAATGTTATTCTTATTTGTGTTTTAGTTCTCTTCACATTTCCATATGGATGTCTAATACGTTAGTATATTCCAAATAAAATTCCAACTAAAGTTGTTGTATGGCCTAATCATGACATTGTGTTCAGCTATAGGGCTGCCTCGTGTTGACACACACTTGTAACCAATTTGTGGAAGCACTTCTTCATCTCTCTATGGACTTGCCACGTTGTGGGTTCCAATTCAAGCATAGCCCGGAAATCCCACGATAAGATTATGTCCGAAAATAGTGAATGTATGTGCTGGAAGTGCTTACAGTACAACTACGATTTACATACAACTTAGAGTGGTGGCAGTCGGACAGCCATCGAGGTTTTCCAGCACTTAAAATTTGACATGACAGGGAGGAATGAGCATGACATGATGCAAGTGAACATCTCACCTGATATGAACATAATACGGCCGGATTCCCCTCCAAGAACGAACAGCATTGGGGTGGTTGAATTCAAAGGAGGGACAATAAACTCTTACAAATCACTCGAGATTAGATCAACCTGAAGAAAAATACGTATCTTCTTGTGTGTACATGAGAGACTACGGGAATATATACACTGATTATCAAAATTGGGCAGATATGTGGACACATTGCCGTAAGTGGGCCAACTGGCTGAAGGCAGGACGATGGCTTAGAGAAGACTTGACCTACCCACAATCTCTCTTGTAGAACCTTCTAATCAATCTGATCTGCAAGACATCGAAGGCTTACTCGCGAGGAACGAGATCCACTTCCAACAGTGGTGGTTTATACAATTTTTCTGGCGTGGATGCTTAGCAATGGATGAAACGGATATACAGCAACTATCAGAGAGCAAGAAGAGATAACTGTGTGGGCAATTGCAAATTGCTCCAACTTCCAGCATAATCCTGGGTGTTAAGTCTGAGAATGATGTCGAGGGGGGCGGCCGCTTCCGATGCGTTTTCTGCAGTTGCAGCACTGGGAAGGGAACAGGACGTCGACTATAATGAAGCGGGCTCCAACTGAAACCACACGTCAACGACTCATCAAAAGTAACAACATATCTTGGCTTTCACAAGTCCATGTTGCACGATGCTTTCTTTGCTTTTGAACAGCTACCACGCACAGGACAGCAGCATGTACTGTTCCAGTGTCGGCGGCGGCAGCAGCGGCGAGGTCAGCAACAAACTTCTCTTCTTCTTGCTTTCATACTTAAATTTTTTTGACGTGATTCACTGATACGGCTCTGTTCAGGACGAGTCGCCGACAGCATTTCCCCGATCCTCCAACATGCTTTACGGAGATAGTGAAAATCTCTCCATGCATTGGACGAGATACGAAGCTCTGTAACAGATCATTAGCTAACTACTGCAAGGCGCAGCTGCAGTTCTATGTTTCCAGAGGATGCAGTTTAAGCCGACGAGAAGGTATTCTTCGTAGGAGATCGATCGATCAGACCTCGACAAATGTTGATCTTTGGTACGAGTGGCACAATCTGCACTTGTACAGTACTCCAGTCTTGCACTTCATCGACATGGCAAGCAGATAACATGGGGGAACTGACTGCAGACTAAGACGAGGAATTGAACTTTTGAGGCTGAGTTGAGTTCGAGAAATCTTAACCTCTTGTCGGAGTGGGAGGCTTGTTGAAACCATGGGATAACCAAGAGAGCGGTTTGAAAGGACCTCCACTTTTTTGCGATGAATTCTTTGAGGAGAGATCTCCGTTCATTGCATCCTGTTCGTAACCCTCTGCTTCTAAAAACCGTTGAGAGAATTGGTCCATGTCGAGGATAGTGATATCGTCGAATTGGCAGGACGATATGTCATCAGCAGATTTCTCTTCACTGGTGTCCGATGCGCTATCACTGCTTCCACTGTCGCTGAGGCTGACGCTAAGATTGATAGACTCAGCATCGATTCGAGATTCGAACTCTATTAACACGAGAAAACATAGCGCACACAAGTTTGTGTTAGAAGTTAAATCTATATCGTTTATGAAGAGCATAAAAGTTGGACCCGGTCTATAGTTTGTGAGCCACGAGATTCCTGTGTAACTTGGCATTTCACTCAATCTGATGGTAGTACAATAATACTAATACACCAGACTATGTTGACCACAAATACGAATCCACCTAAGGTACAACAATTTGATTATCTGCACATGTTAGTTCACATTACTAACACAAACCAAGCCCATGGACGTGCTCAGATAGCTCTTTCATCGTTCTAAAAGAAAGGAACTGAGATGAAAACAAACGAGGTAACTGGACCTCAATAAAAATGATTTCAAAGTCTGAGACCCCACCAGCTCGTAGCACTTGAAGTGTTTGGACAACTTCGTTCATATTGGGGCGTTCCCGAGGATCCATTCCTAGACACAATCTCGTCATTCGCATGAATAGGAGGGCCGATTCACGTATGTATGCGATGTCATCGGGCATATCTGAGTCGAGGAGTTCACTCACACGTTCTTGCTCCAAGTACATCCTGGACTGGTGAAACATGCGAGAAATTTGTTTGAACGCAGAAGCAGAAGATTTGAACTCAGATTGACACAAAATCTAGGATATTTGAGACATACTAAGACAAACTACATTCCAGCGGATGACTGCACGTACCCAGTTCACGAGACTTTGGTCCTTTTCTGGGAGTGAGAAATCGAGAGGCTTTCTTCCAGTGAGCAACTCCAACATAACTACTCCAAAACTGTAAACATCACTTGCACTTGAGACTTCTCCTGTCATCATGCTTTCGGGGGCAACATACCCCAGTGTGCCTAATGCACCAGACCTTGAAGGTGTACAACAAAATCTTACGGGATCATCCAGCGCTCCTGTCAACTGTTTTGCAAATCCAAAGTCACAAACCTGCAAACGGTTCCCAAGAGTAGAGGGCGTGCATAGTCAGTATGCATAATTAATTGTTTTTGTACCGGCAATTGTACTCTCAATACAAGAAAGAGAGGGCATAGTGCATGAATGACCTTTGCATTGAAACCTCCAGTGAGAAGTATGTTAGCAGCCTTGATGTCCCGATGTAGCACAGTGGGTTTCTGCTGGTGTAAATACTGGATACCTAGCGCGGCTCCTAGAGCTATTTTCACTCTTATTCCCCAAGGAAAATAAGTTTTTGTTTGACGATTCTCTGCAAAGAAAAAAATCCTCAGAAGTACAGTAGGAACGTCGCTTGTACGACAGAAAGTCCAAAATTCGATCTACATTTCATATCTTGCTTCTCCTCTTTCCTGACTGATCTTAAGAATGCATCTAATTCTAACCATCTGTAAATTCGAAGAAACGAATAACTGTCCGGACACTGCCCGATGTTCAGGGTGGGAGTTAAAGTGATCGTACCTCCGTGAAGGTGATCTGACAAACTGCCGTTGGCGACATGCCTGTAGACCAGATAAAGCTGCTCACCGACCATACAGCTGCCCAGAAGGCGGACCTGGCATCAAAGGCAAGGCATTCAGACTTTGGGGCTCGAATTCGCATGATACACACGTCCAGCATACGCAATTTCGCGACGAACAGAATGCAGAGAGAATATTATTTATACCAAGAACAACTGCATGCAGGAGAGCTGCTTTGAGTACCAGATGTTTGTGGTCCAGCCTACTGAGGAGTTCGATTTCAGTCACGAACTCTTTTACTCCTTGTGAACTGGTTCCGGTGAGAGCCTTGATAGCTACTTTGGTGAAGGGAATAAGTGGAAGTACACCTTTGTAGACTCTACCAAAGCCGCCCTCTCCTAATAAATTCTTCTCATCAAATCCACTCGTTGCTATATTCAGGTCCTCAAACAAGAAACGAATATGCGTCTTTGGTGTTAGACTTAGAGAAGTCAAAAGTCCGGAATTGCTGTACTTGTTTCTCGGACCTGCAAAAAACTTGTGTCGATCAGAAGAAGAACCAGCGTCGAATCAAGCACATTTTCACTGATTCCGGATACAATTCAAGCAAGCGAGGTCCGAAATCGGAAGAATTGCATCAACAGCCTGGAAGAACTCTAGGAATTGCATTGGGGCGTGAATTTTTACTACCGACATTGTACTGTCCACACGAGAGATTCAATCGACTTTCTTCCTTTCTATGGATCGGATTTAATCACGTACAGAGGAGAAGCTTTCGGTTGTTCTCAAGGTAATTTTCTTCTTCCTTGACGACAATCTTTCTGGCCAAAACTCCTCGTCGCCAACGAATGTAGATTATCAATGCCAACAAGCAGAGGGCGATGACTGCTGAAACCGCTCCAACTATGCCTATAATTTCTGTTTCATGCTGTTTCTTCGAGACCCCTGCATCAAACATGGTGGCTAAGCTCTAGTCAACAACTCACTCAAAATATACTGACGGAAGATTCTTCTTGCGAGTCTTTCATGCTGTAACACGAAGAGTCCAGTTTTTGAAAGCTACATGTCAAGGGCCTCAGACCGTCCTTACTCATGCTTCCTATGTAGGCCAAGGTCCACCCTGTGTCGTCTTGTCGAGTCACATGGCAGTCGACATTTGTTCCTGGTCATAAATTTCTTGAGCGTCCCAACCACCGAGAGGTCCTGGAGCGTGGCCACCTAATCTACTTTGTCTCTCCCACGTCAGGTGGCATTCTGATTACCGGCAATATAATATTCAACAGTAGACAAACTACTTGGTACGAGTGTACGAAGGGCTATAGTTGCAGGGAAATTCATTCAAAGCAATCACTGGGTGATCCAAAAACCAAGTCCACGTAACAATTGAAGCTATCCAAGCTATGATCGAAAGCGATCCTGCAAACAACTTCAGAATTACATGACACTAAGAGACAGGGGAAAGCTCGTCGATAGAGGACACATCGTGACCATAGGAGAAAGCTGTAAAACGCGTTCGAAGAGGTTGTGACCGATATAATATGAGATCGACCGAATAAGCCATTTGATCTGATGCTCCATTCGGTGAGGTCCGTGCCAATTTGGAACAGAATGAGACGTATTTGGAAAACTCACGACATGCGAATTCACATTGTCCTGTTTGTGTGCTGCAACTGAGTGCCGGCTGACACTCACAGGTTTCAAGAAATCATCGATAACAGACGTTGACTGAAGAGAGAGTCCGGACACTGCCGGCTGATGCCGATCGGCCTCATGTGCCAATTATCGAACAAACAACGTTCTCATTTCATTCAAAAAGCAGTTAGCGTGTTTGATTTCAAATTTAAAAGGTGATTGGTTGTTTCGAACAAACGCCCATTTGAACCACAAATATTGCAATGTAAGAAAATCAGTTAATTATCTGATTCGACACGAAGTGAGAAGTCACTACTGAAATGCGTTGGTACAGTTGAGATAGGGATCATGCCAAGAAGCTTTTTCCCGTTCAAGCAAGACTTAAGGAGTGGGAGGTACGGCGAGTTTCATCAACTCTACGTTTAGTACGCTTACGTTTATCTCCGTGCAACAGGATTTGAGAAAGAAATTACCAGAATTTGGTGCTGTAACTTGAGAAGGGTGGTGCGTTAGCATCGATGGGTCACCCGGAGTCTCCTTTCCTGTCGATGCCATCTGTTCGATACTTTCAGACGCAAAATTCTGCGCTAAGAATGTGCAATTTAATCTTATCTTTCACGTGTTTTACTGACTCCCAGTTTCCAGTTCTGCATGCAACTCTGGCCGTCTTCTACTCGAAATGACAGTACATTTCTCATATCTCGCAGAGTCTTCCACGAGTCTTCTATGCGAGGGTGTGGCCCTTTTCCCGTGTATACCGAATGACTGCAGCTGATGTCTCTAGCTGGACGAACTTCAAAAACTGATTGCTCGTGCGGGTCCAATGAAACGCTCCACAGCTCTATGATCTATGCATCCACCCGAGACAATGAAGCACCTGTAGCCTGTTTATATATAATGCCCAATATTGTGAGGTAAACAACTACTGAAAGCCCACTGAGAAAACCACAGCCCCACTGATCGCAGTGGCCGTCCAAAATATCTGACCCGTAGTGCCAGAACAGAAATGTATAGCACAGCCACCAGCAGGCAAGAGAAATCTCTCCCGATGGAATTCTACAATCCACAGCCGGTCAAAGAAAGCGCTGTCGTCGGTGAGCGAAATCAGGTGTTCTAATCTGCGCGTCACTGTCCCGTCTCAGATTTCTTCGAGGCGTTGAGGCGATACGACAATTACACCCCGGAGGTAGCTAGGAAACAACACTTCCAGAATACGCGACCGCATACAAATTACCAAGGAAATGATGAAACAGACCCCCGACGACGACGTCCAATTCGATTCGGCACGCACTGCCTGCCTGAGCGACTGCCAACCAACCAACCAACAACGACCGCGAGGAGAGAAGAAGAAGCCTTCGGTTTCTTCTTCTCCTCTTCCTCCGTCCCCACAACCCGTGGAGTAAGTAAGAACGAAGGATGGAGAGGAGAGTGCGTTCGCGCAAGCGAACAAACACAATGTAGGGATCGAATCGACAGACACTCCGCCGCTCTCTTCTCTCGCCCCGACGGTGGGGTCGGTGTATCGTCAAATTCGCGTCGAGCAAGCGAAGCAAGAACCGGCGCCTCCTTGAGGATCTATTCAATACAATACAATACTCAATTCAACTCAGCTCCTTCCTCCCACAGCCCCATTTCTTGAGATTCCAGTCTGCACGGACATGTATTCTTTTCTCGAACAGCGGCAGCCTGGAGCTCACTCACTCACACTCCATGCATGTTCATGGCGAACCATGTTCCTCCGACTGTCTTGCTCTCCCTGTCCCTGTCTGTCTGTCTGTCTGGCCGTCTCTGGCGCTGTGCCTTCTTTCTTTGTCCCCCGGTCCCAGCGTCCCCAGGCATTACATGACTTTCCGTCCGGCCGTGATTTGCTGCTGCCACTCTCGCGCGCCCCGTACGTCGGACGCTCTTTACGTGCGGATGGATGACAGAGTGACAGTACACTGGATTCTCGATTCCTTGCGATCCGAGTTCTTGTGCGGAGGCCCCATCTGGATACTAGAGCAGCCCGTTGTGGGTCTTCACGCTACCGCGCCGGAGCGTTTCCGGTTCTCTTCTCTTCGGGGACTTTTAGTGAGAATCACTCCAGCGCCCCTTGGATGCGAGCGGATTTTTCCAAAGGGGCTGGTTCGGATCTTGATCGTCGAGTAATGCATCTATGGAGCATCGTTTCCATCGCCCTCCACTCGAATGCCTCCGTTCTCCTTTCTCTTCTCTCTTCTCTTTTGGTCTTTCCTCTATCCCCGTGCATTTGGGGCATTATCTTCTTGGCAGGTGCATGAGTGCCTCGAAACGGCAACCAAGGCATAATAGAAGAAACGTGGAGGAGTATGAGCGAGTGTATTGCACATGTGGCTCTAATGTATTGCTATTCAAGCCTTTCAAGATGTGTTCGATTCGATTGTAATGGAAGCAGCAGTGGTTGTGATTTTTGGAAGATATGGCTCCATGATTGTACGTTCTAACGACGGAGTCTTTTCGTCGACGTATGAAATATTTGAGTAGGGAGGGAGGTAGGGAGGTTCATGCATGGAATGTAGAGAGACGGAAAGCGGTGAATGGACCCTCTAGAAGTAAAACTTCTAGGTCGACATGCACCGAGACCTCTCCCTTCCCAATACAAGAAACAACAAAGACTTGTGAAAGACTTGATAAATGATTAGCAAGAAGCCGAATATGATGCGTGATGATGTCTTGCCACGTTACCACCTTGCCACAATTCTCAGGCGATGGTTTGATAGCATTCCCACGTTCTGTCACCGCTGTCATGAGTGCAAGGGTACGATTAGCTTTCCGAAATAACTTTTACATCAAGAATATTTTTGTTCACTCTTGCGATCGACAAGTGTCAAAAAACCTGCCAATAATCCCAACTCCTTTCACCTTTAGCAATTAACCCACAAACAAATACATAAATATGCATATTAAAACCGGATTGATGATCGAGACAGAAACTCCTAACAACGATACGCAGATGTCATGAAAGTCCGCGAGAGTTAATTGTAAGTTACTGAGGCAGAATAAACATGTGCTACGGGAGGTTGTACTCTGCGAGATTAGGTGCTCCCCATCGAGGTTTGCAGCCAGACCTGCACACAGCCCGATGTTCTAGTACGAGAGCAGCTATGGTCCTGGCCCTGGATCGCCTGCTCATTCATATATAGGCGTTTGTACGCACGGAGCGACATCCGGCTGCTTGCCGTCGTGGGCAAAGTGTCTTCGGCCGAAACCGGTGAGCCATGACCGGCTTCCGATCCCGATCCCGAGTCCGGGATATGTGACCGTTAGGCGGGTCCCGCCGAGACGAGGAGGTGACCGTTAACTCGTGTTCCATGTCCGCGCTAAGGGTAAGGGTCCGCGGGGGCAGAGCATACGTGGCGATGTTTTGACGCGCGCTGACCGTCGTCCGGCGTCGGAATATGAACACGCCCCGTAATCGAAGAGTTCGAGCGGTTGGATTTTGACGATCAACGACGGACGACCGAGCCTGAGCGTCGAGAGCGTGATACGGGATAGTCTGCGATCCTGAGCTGGCGTTCGCCTGGATCCCCGGTGTGAGCGGCGCGGGTTCGTGCGACGTACGAGGCTCATGGAGCTTTCCATGACCCGACCCGACCCGACCCGCTGTGCAGTTGCCCATCGGGTACCATTGGCCGGAAAAGGTCCTTGCCCATAGATGGGCATTGCTAATCTCGTCGAGGATCGAGCCCTGACAATGTCGGAAATCAGGTCCAGGCAGAATTGATCGCTTCATAATGACCGTCCGATGCACAGTCCCGAGCAAATCGATCATGTGGCGCCGACACGTGAATTTCACAGGTCTCGTAGATCCTCAATGCACGAGGAATCGAACCTCAGCATGATCGCCATCACTGAATCGGTCCGGCTAAAATAAGAGCTCCACTTGGTGTAGAACTACCAACGAACGACCACAGTGCTCGTCTCCAGTCGGAGGACAGGGTGAGAGATTGTTCCTCGTAGATTGATCGAAAGCTATACAGTTGCCAGAGTAGTAATAAGCTCCGTAAATCACGATGGCAAAGGCGATCGATCAGGCGAGCGTAAGTCAAATTTACCAGAACTATTACGGATCGTTTTGAACGATCGTAATTGTCAACTTGCTGCTTTGGACGGCAGCTCTCGACTGCGTGAGATCATCGTCGTCATCATCAAGTCTACAGAGTCAAGATGAGCCTCAGATGGGACCTGCTCTGCAACTACATACATACATCCGGGACACCAGCGATTTCGGTTCTACAAATCCATCACAAGCAGCATGAAGTGACAACAACGAGCAAGATAACATCTGTGGCGTGCTGTAGTTTCCTCGGCCCCTGAGACCTCGTCATTTCTATCTTCGAACTTTGCTGTTCCCGAATTACAGTTATCAGCCGCTGGTGTTCTGTTTCTCCGAGTGATGCTTGGTGACATGGTGGCATTGGACTAGTCGATTCCACGATGGCCTTCGCGGACTTTCACATAGCACCCGCGGGAGCATATACTCGACCTTTCGATGGCCTCCCTGTGTCGCTGATCTCGAATCCTGACTAGATTCGCGCCAGGCCAGGAAGGGCAGGCCCTGCCGAAGGATCGTGAAGCTGATTCATGCTGGCGCTTCACTGATTGCCTCTCTATCACGTACAAATGTGGCATGCGCGAAGGGATTGTTCCAAGCTAGTGAGCGGTTTCTTGTTCTGTCATATGGGTGACAAGTTTTGATACCCACTTACGGCGTTACGGGGAGCTACGTACTGTGCAGTACAGAGAAGCGCTGTTACGCCTCCGCATTCTCGACTACTGTACCTACATACTGTATTCACATGACGATTCAGCTTGGGTCCATATCTCCCTCCGTCTCCGACTTTCATTCTTTCCCGTGGACTTTTTGCCCCCTTGCCTTGCACGCCACGACGGGGACCTTCGAATTCAGTTCCCATCCTTCTTGATTTACGCACCTCGATTGATGACGGTGATGGCCAGCTTTGGATTTGTATCGCTACTGTATTATGATTCTTACATTATGGAATCGTATTCATACTGTATAAATGACCCAGAACCCTGTCGGGCGGTATGATTCAGATGTGTGCCCGTGTACACTCACAACGCATACATTTCTGTATTTCATGTGTTATTGGGCTATCATGCGAAATGGGCAGTGTCATAGCCTTCCACTTTTCCTAACCTCGTTACAGAGTAGTCTCATGTATCACATCACTTTTTACCAAGACTTGAGGACCCGAAAAATGTGAAAATGTACAGGATTGGTTTCGGATTCAATTTTTGAGATTTCATTTTTAGTTCCTCTCATGGAACATGCGGAGCCATACTTTCAGTTCAAAATACATTTGAGTAACATGAACATTTCCATTTTTTATCAGTAAGCGAATCGGTTGCACAAGAGTAGGTTTCGTCATTCTCTTCCTCCTCTTCAGTGTCTTTAGTTTATATACAAATCACATTTTAAATATATGATTATTCATTAATTTCTGTTAAGGAGCTCCTCGGTTGCCCAAGAAGAGGTCTCGTCATTCTCTCCCTTTCCAACGCGACTTTTTTCTCTAAAGATAATCATCGTTGTATGTTGTAGTAAGATTGTCGGCGAAAGTTACTGAATCAGCATACCACAACATCAAATTCAGATAATATTTGACTGTATGTGTAAAAGTATATCAGTTAGACTGGTACACACATCGTAGCTCATCCATTTACTGCGTTGAGGAAAAAAAATCTATATATTCTTAGCGGTGGACTCTGATCGAGTAGTATTGACATTCGGCTGCATCGTATAAAGGCAAGGAGCAGAAGGTGCGATTACTGGCAGTGGTTATCTAAGTGAGTATCTTTCTGAGATCTCGTACCGTGGACAGGATAATGAACACTTCATATTAGACAACAAGTTTCAATAATGATGTAGACTTTAATTAAAAATAGTTGATTGCATTAGTAATAATGAAATCAATTAGCGGTAATAATCGAAATCAGCATGGAAAGATCACATTTCTTGGGATGCGCAATATGTACGATCAAACACAAAGCCACGGTGAAACATTCAACTTCATTTTCTAAACTGATGAGTTGAAGTTTTTCCTGCGATTTTCTCTGCTCAATCATCAAGGCCCACGATGGCCCATCAAAAGACACTATGTCAATGATTACAATCCTCCTGGAAACCCCAGCAAGTAACAAGTGACAGCTAAAGCTTACGAGACAAGCTTAAACTAAGGTTGGTCAATACGAAAAAAAACAGCATCTTGCGAGTTGCATCTCCAGACATTACGAAGAGTTTTGCCTTGATGCGGCCGAGGTCGAGGTCCGGGGGCAAAAGTACCTACTTCCCTCAAGAGATGGCTGTTGGGGGTTCAGGGTGCATTCCCTGCGGTGCAAAAGCAGAAGCTTCGACCGGTGTTTCGAGTAGTGTCGCATCGAGATCAATCGGGCCTTCGGAATGGCTATACAGTAGTTGACGGACGCCTATAAACAGATTCTCAGAAGGGAAACAGATTTCCCTTTTGAAAAATGCAGGTCTCGTTAAAAATGCAGATTGTACTAAATGTGCCTGAGGGTAAAAGCGCTCTTCTCAGGTCAGAGGCCAGACCTGCCGCGTCTTTGTCGTGGCTTGTGTTACCGATTTAGTAAAGAGCTTTGAGAGCTCTGCAGATGTTTGAACGTGCGAGAGTTTGGACAAAGTTCGACGCTGCAGGTGTTGACAAGTTCCAAATGGATTCCATCATTTCTCCAAAACAGTCGGTAAAGTAAGTCGGTAAGCTCATCGTTTCGTACAAACATAGGCTGCCTCACGTCATACCACATCCATAGAGTAATAGGCAAGCGCATCAAGTGCAGCTGTGGGCTTCTCGCTCGTGAAAAGGTATGATCGGTTACTTACACACCACAAGAACATGTTGTACCGCTCTTTCCCTTTACCTTGTGTCCAACAACCTCCATGCACGGCGTGGGAGGGTCGATCATCGTTTGGAAACCTCGAACAGGAAAAGGAAGGTTGAAAGCCACGAAATAGATCCGTTTGTCAGGAGGCTGAATTGGAACCGTACTGTTCGGTCTGTATCTATCTGAATAAACTTGTGTCAGATTCCTTTTTGCCCTGGTAACGGACGAACTACCCCCGTTCGCTTTTCTCTCGCTCGCTATCAGCGGTCAGTCTTCCCCCGTCACTGCAGGAGGAAGGCTCTCTTTGCACGACCTTGGACAGTTGAGAACCCAAAGCCATGTTTAGAGTGCTCTCGAAGTCCGCTGGATCGTTTCGTCTTCCGGTGGTATAACCGTAACGCCCGAGTCCCGATGGGGCGGACAGTCCAGTTTCTAAGTTCATGCTTCCTTTGGATCTTATCACGCACTCACTCGCTTGAAAATCGTGTCATGATACATGACAGAAAACTGCGTGGCGTCGATTTCCTGTTCAAGCGATGGACTTTCGATCGGCGAATATTTAACCACTCTAGTACTGGTGAATAGCATTCGGGTATTAGTGTCAGACTTCAGATCGTCCTCTCCATTCCGTTCAGAGGGAAATTAGTTTGTACAACTCCTATCGGTGTTTTTAACTGTTTTCCCTCGATGTTGTTTCACATCGTACGGGAAGCTAAGATAGTTCCTGGGTTATTCGCCCTCACGGAGAATTCGACAAGCACACTTGAAAATCCAGTTTAGAGGTTTAGACCCATGGAGGTCTGTGTAAGTCCCGGTGGAGGGACCAAGTGGCAAAACCCTCCAGCAGGAAACATCTTTCGGCATGTTCTACAGCACGTGGATGAATCATTCCATCACTTCTCTTGTTGCCGGATGGTTGCTCAGAGGTGAATCATAACGTGAGTTGGCGGTAAGAACCTTTCCGGTTGTAATCTTTACGCCATGAAGTAGAGGGTTAGACGAGCACAGATTCTTTTCGGTACTGTCTTCACTCACTTCCCAGCCGACCATAGCTCATGCTTCACGTGGTTATCCTCTTGCTATGCGCCAACGGTGAGGTCCCAGTAAAGCTTTTTTCCCTGCGAGAAGGGCTTGAGACATTCTTCACTTCATGAAAAGGTAACCATGTTCGTCCCAATAGGAAACCTCGAACACTGTTCACCTAATATTAACGTGCTTTTGTTTCCTACGAAGTGAAAGGTGACAGTAGGACTTTAGATCGTCTGTAGCGAATGGTGAATAACTATCGAGTCTTAAAAACTTAAACGCAGTCAGACGGGTGTGGCAGCTAGCTGGAAGATGAAACGACTTGTTTGCAATAGGCCGTGAACTCCATCAGGAAGTTCAATGGCAACAATAAACGTGAAGCGAAAACCAACGAGCTAAAGCCCACGTCGCTCAGGAGCCATTGCCTCATATGCTGATTTAGTCAATAGTCAGTATAAATGCGCTGGCCAACCGCACTGTCCAACACAGTCCGGCTTCCGTTCAGAAGGCTGTAGAGCAAAGGAGCCCTGATGATGAAGACCAAATGACTCGGGCTTCTAGAACTTGCGACATGTCAGACACTGTCACTGCAATTGTATACAACAATTCCCGATATCTCCCACAAAGCCACGTATGCACCTATATTGAATTAAATATAATTTCAACACTACATTAGATAATGGCTTCAGTCAAAAAAATTTATGTCACATTATCCTCAAAAAGAGTCTTGTCTAGTGTCCATTACATTAATCTTCAACGAGTGCTGCGTAAAGTGCACCGAGATCAGTCCGTCAGAGCTCCCTACATACTACAAACGCGTTAACGGGTGTAGGTTTCAAGTAGGGTGGTACAACTGCTCATAATTCCAATCTCGAAACTCCAACAGTAAACTCCCTCCGACTGCAGAATAAAAGTCAGGCCATTAAACATAATTCCAACTCAACAGGCCATGTCTTCAGTTCGCCTTCACATAAAGATTAGTCCCTAAAATTGTGAACACTCAGAGCTTTCGTAGCCCGTTATCAGCAGCAAGAGGTGAACTTCATTTTAGTCCCGGTATTTATAAGAAATCGACTACGAGAAGGAATCATGGTGTCAGACAACCTACCTGATTTGCAGTACAAGTCTGCTGTGATATCGATAAACAAAGTATGTAACATCCTCATTTTCAGAGTCACTCTGTAGGATGTTAGAGCACAAGCATAGTCTCAACTTACATTGTCAGCATCTACGGAGCCCTGAGCAATGCAGACACATTCCGCCAGAAAATGACCTCAAGTGTCGACAGCATTCAAGACATCGTAACAGTCACAGAAAGGCCGTATACATGAAGTCCATGAGCTGTGGGACAGTAAATTTATCGAGACAGCTGTCTGTTTGCCACTTTCTGCAAGGAATGTTCTCCTGGAGACCAATATGAAAGTTTTGCGACAGCAATGGTCAGCTCCTGCCTGGCCGGGGATGCAGGAGAATCAGTGGGCGTATAGACCAAGCGCAAGAAGGCGTTTCCCAACTCTCTCTCCAAACACGACGTCTCTCATGGCTTTCACTCGGGACAAAGAGACCAGCGAAGCTCTTGAACGAATCATGCTGAGACTATATTTTGATCTAGGTCTGAAAGTGATTGATTGCCCATCCAACAACTTGCCATAATAGAGGTAGAAACTCTACGAGGATGCGACGGGAATTTAGATGCAGATTCCGACAGCTGACATCTATCTGGTTGATACATAGACCGACAGAGAAGATCACTTCGATCAGACGCAAATTTTGCAGGGAATGAGCAGAAGTTTGCTCATTATATAGAAGCAGTATGATCATGAAGACTACGTCCAGTCGTCTCAGTCCAATTAGGGTGCCTGGTTTGAGAAGCTTATCATTCATTCATGTAAACTTCAAATGGCGTGACAGCATCAGCCAGTACAAGAAAGCTCAAAGTAAACAGCCTGTTCCCAGTATCTACAGCCAGTATAAACTATCTGTATCAGCCCTTTCCACCTGGTGATCTGGTTAGAGTCCAATAACAGAAAGCTAGGATCAGTCCTGCTAAGGCATTGTGGTACTTCCTTCTCAGAACACCATGTGTGTGAGATCAAACACTCAAATTGGAACGAGCTCGGAACTAGCTGTACCCCACCACTGTTCACTTTACTAAATGCTGGCCTCAAAGCAGCTCTGAGAACAACCCAAATAGACAATCGGGCTAGTCTGAGCTTTACTGTCGGCATAAAACGTAACAGTTTCTATCCGACTCAACACCTAGTTACCTGAATGTTATGTTTTGCACTGTACACATAGAAGGGTGGGGGTGAAAGATTGAAAACCCAATTTCAGTGGAAAGCTTGCTCATATTTTCTTGTAAGTCCCGCAGGTACCTCCACAGAACTGCCCTGTCGGATTGCTGTAGTAGATTCTGCGCAGTAGTTTGGCACCAGTAAACGTCTAGTCTGAGGAGTAGATGTCACGCAGTCGGAATTCTGTGCACAAGCCATACTGCAGTTGGGAACAGCGTGCAGAACTCCGGTTCCACAGGGTTTTGCTAAACCCTGATAGCGAGGTTGCTATCAAGAGCTCAACGAAGATAACTCCCACATGAGAAGAGGAGACTCACTCCCTTCCCACTCTCGAGTATTCTGGAGCTTGGCTCCAATCATTGCCCTCGACATCCATGTCATTTGCCTCAGTCCGTAAAAGATGCCGACTCTCAGATGACTCTTCGATGTGATCAGTAGGGCCGATATCTGATTGACGGCCTGCCATCGAACCCTCTCGGTAGTCCGAACAAAGTAGGGGCTGCCTTGAGACCCCTAAAGCTTTCATGGCCGTAATGGAATCTATCTACATCTAGTCTAACGTCTATGGGTTCATCATGAACCATTAGGTCCTCCGGGCGCTCTTGTGCGACTTTAATTTCACCAATTTCATGCCCTTGTATTGTTCGGGGGCTCCGTGCAGCAGCCACTTCTGCAGTTCTTGGACTATCAAAACGTACAAAACAGAAACCCCTCCTCTTCCCCGTGTGTTTCTCTCTGGGGAAGTAAACATCCTCCACATTGCCATACCTGCATCAGGACAGACGAAACCTCAAAACCAGCCCACTCTTCAGATCTCACATCCAGTGACATCCACGACCTCTAGGAAGTTCTCATCTAACTGAGAAACGATTAGGGGCTACCTTCAGATCCGACACGAGGGACGGCGCATCGTACAAATTGCCAGGAAATCCGCGTTCATACGCAAGAAAGAAGCCCGAAGCCCTAAAATTCGCAACACAAGACACTGACAGCCACTCAACGATGACAATACTCACTTCTGAAAGTGTACTCTAATGTGCCTCTCGACGAGCACATCGGGAATTCCTCCCACAAACACTCGGGCTGACCTTGGCAAACCTCGATCATTTCTGAGCATGGCAAGGCCTGCAGGGACTCCTGGCCTCCCTGCCATACTGTACCCGTCCATAAACGGGAAGGGAGGCATCTGTGCGAACGGAGACATCTCTCCCAGTATTCCAGCCTCTAACGGCACCTGCGAAGGATGAATCAGCGGCGACCTCAATTCCATACCGGCTGGAACCAATCCAATTGGTCCCGGTAGAAGCCCTCGAGGAGACACAGGTCTCGCGTGCCTCGGTGGCCATGGCAGAAGGGGCTCAGATATGGTTTTCAGCTGCTTTCGGTCCTCATGGTGCCATACGTTTCTCTCGGATGGCCGAGGTTCGGCTCTTCCGACGGGGTAATGCCTTCCGTCGATTTCGTGGACAGCCTCCTTCACCTGCTCACAGCGTAGCACAGTTCTAATCAGGGGAGATCTCGGCGTAGGGACTCGGTAGAGAGCCGCCGCATCCTTCTTACAGCCCAAATGGACAGGCGCAGGCTGACATTGTTACACAGGCAAATGACCACAGGATCCAGCCACGTTAAACTCAAGCAAAGATTCAACATGCAGATGCTCTCGAGTCGAGCACTTCAGCTGCTTGATTTCAGTTGGCGCCGAGCACTGAGAAGTGGAATCGCGTTATCTCCCAGCCCCTGAGGTTTATGTGGAGAACGCAACCCATTCGACTAGCTCCAACTTCAAGTGGAAGGCGACGAATCTTTCCGTTCGTAGCCACAAACTACTCGTGAGCTGAGCGGGAATGCATCGGATCTTAGCAGTTCTCGCGGATCAAGGAACGAGCCAGTGTCAGCAATTGAGAAGGCAGATGGTGAGGAGACTTACAGCTCGCTGGACGGCATCTTCACTCTCAAAGGAAACGTAGGCGAAGCCCTTAGGTGTGGGGCCGGGCATAGAACGGGGTATGTACACATCAGTCACCGTCCCAAAAGTGGCGAAGTGTCGCTTCAGCAACTCCTCTGTTGTCTCCGCAGTCACTCCCGACTTCACAAACACCCGGTGCCTTTCTCTCCCCATTGCCCCCTGCGTCTGCCCACCTTTCTCAACGTCGTTCTGACTCTTGGCTAGCAAAAGGACAGGGAGCTCTACGCTTTCAGCACGTCCGCAGCACGGTCATATGCCAGCATTCGGAAGTCAACGTCGGGGCTGCTTCCAGCTTGCGAGCTACACACCGCAGCGAGCTCACTCAAGTCCACGTCGACCTTTCCTGCTGTCGTCGGCCTCGGGCCCAGCCTCGAGCCGTAATTCTTCGGCAACTCGGTCGGCAATTTCAGGGGCCAAATTTCATGCCCGTGGTCCTGCAACTTTCACCGCAGCTTTCTCTCGAGCGGAACGAAGCGCTCATTGTGTTGCCATTCTGTACCTTCTTCCCCTCGATCGACACCTTCTCATCTGAAATTCACACATCTGTGTCTCGGAGAATCACCTCCCGAAGGTCCAAGTTCAATTTCTGCGGCACCGCTTCTTCCTCTGCAGCCACCAGATCCGGGCCCGACGTCCAATCCGAAATGCGCCCGTGCTCGACACCTACACAAATATATGGGATTTCACGTCCACGTAACGGCGGCAAAACGCTCGATTGCGCTCCTCATGAACGCTGTTTCCTCGGCTACCAAACGAAAAGGAAAACGCTCCAGATCCGGTTCATTCTTGCCCCTCGACTCCTGCTCTCCGTCGCCTCCCGCGCTCACTTCAGCTACAGCTCGACCAGCTCGAATGCAGTGCGGTGCTCATGGTCCGATCTCCGGCGAAGAAAACTCGCAGCAGCGCTGAATGCCAAACCCAGCAGTTCATAAAGGCGCTCGAGATTGCCAGAAGAGCAGAAGAACAGAAGAAGCCCGAGAGTCGAGGATCAGCCGTCGTCGCTTGCAGTCTCGTCGCTCGCTCGCTCGCTCGCTCAATGTGCTGAGGCTCGATCTGTTGCTGGCGACCAGCAGAAGTCCGAAACGCTCGAGGAATCGCACACAGTTTCATTCGCGAACGGGCCAATATTATTTTCGAAAATTCGTAATATTCTCGCACAAGCTAAAACCCCCGGCCGTGCGATCCCCCGCTGGACGCTCCAGATCGACCAGATTCCGCGCGAAATCGCAGCTGTTGCGATTAGCAACTCGGCCTGCGGCGAAACAACAGGGGACGCTGCCGTTGACCGTTAGTTTCTCAGATATTCTGACATCTCGCGAGCTCTGGCTACTGTACAGAAGCGTGTTCTCGTGTGGTGCTGAACGTGATGCATCGTGCTTTCGTTATAGGGCACACTTTAGGTCGGCGCGACAAGCATGAGAAGCATGTCTCTGTTCTTCTATCCGAATGATCGAACCCTATAGTGTGCGGAGATCCGTCTATAAGAACGTGTGGCTCCATGTTTAGCGATGTGCCGGCATGTGCTCACGAGTTCATTTGTTGGCCTCCACTTGCGACCGCTCGCGCTAGCCCCTTTGGCTATTTACGTCTGCGTTTGTCCCATTTCCATTCGGCTCTGGTCCTTCGGAGGTTACGTTCGATTCGGACGACGAGCAGCTCGATTCGCCATCCTCTCCTCGAGTAAGTATCCTGGAGTGCCGTCCTAAACCCTAGCCTGCCCGGCAGGATTACTCTAAATGATGAGAATTGACTCTCATTATCGTCGGGACTAATCATGTTTCTCTCGCTGCATTAATGATTTGTTCACCACTAGGTCCCTCTTGAATCCCTCCAATATCGGAAATACGAACAGGACCAGGGAAGTAGACGGACATCACAGCACTTGTTTGCAAAGAGGAATCCATGGCCATTATCGTAAGTAAATCAAGGTCTCGAGGAGCAGTGTATGGAATCCAATTCTGTAGTTGGAAGTGGAGATTGAATTACGAATGCATGTCACTTTCGAACACACAGCGCCGATATAAACGTATACTTTGGTCAAAATTTGTCCATATACGAATATCTAAGCTCTCAATGAAATCGAGATCCATGCAGATGTCTGAAATCATTGATTTTGGCATGTGGAGTTGCCATTTTCTTCCGGGAACTTATCCATGATAGTGATATCACAATCTACATGAATCGCTTCAAAAAATGTGTTGATTATTATAGGTGGCTGATGACTGATAACCAGCTAATTTGAAGTTGGTTGAAATTTTATTTTTTAGATTTTTTAAAATTGAGGTATTTCAATCCCATCTTCGATTCTTTTCGTTTTTTAGAATCTCATAGTAAAAGTACACCTTCAAAAATAAATTTATATTATAAAAAATAGCGATGAAAAGAAATAAAAATTCCTAGGGCTATGAATTACAGAGCAGCAAATACCCATCTAGGTGCATTCTAGGACTAATTTCAGATTTCCCAGTAGAATTTAGCAGATATGAATTTGGTATTTTCAAAGTGATTTTTCAACTTTCTATCTGATAAATATCATTTACATGTATTAATTTTCGCTGTAAATTATCTCGTGAATCCATTCCGTTCAGAGATAGGCACTTATTCGTAAATCTAAAACTTTGGAATGTTATGTATTTATGGTTACAGTGTACAATAAAAGAATTTTGCTGTGAAGAATATAGCTTCATATACCACATATACTCTTACCTCATATGGCTTGGCCCAACGAACTCCATCCCGTGAACTTGAAACTGGAAAGAGGAAGTCAGAATAACTGGAAATTCGACCGATCTCTATTGGAGGTTATGAATAATAGAACTATACTTAAATCAGACCCCAGCGGAAGCGTCAAAACCTCACTTTTCAGGGCACTTTGAGTTAGTGAGATTATATTATTCGTTGAGGTCTTCGTTTAGAACATTGAATTCTGAAAATTTGAAGTAATTATACATCTGTCTTACATGATGCATCCTGCACTGTCAAGGACTGGCTTCAAGAGAAGCATCCATCCCTGGAATTCCATCCCTACTTGTAATTCCGTTTACGAAATGCTCCTGCTCCAGTGTGTGTCTGTCTTTGTGCTTCGGTAGTTATACCCTTCAGGGCATATTTTCTTGGAATGCAGTATAAGAATTCATGAATTGCTCAATATCGTGGAAATATTCTAAGTGAGACCCACAACTTGCTATATACGGCACTCCACGATGTGGTTTCTCATCTTTATTCTACATTACGTGTTGTATAAGTATAGGACTAGTTCAATGACGCGATGAGTACAAAGATGATGGGATGGGAAACAATCATGAACCACTGGAGAAAACCTGATAAACAAACAAGAGCACCTCGGGCAGAACTTGATAACTTGCTGTTTTATTGTGCACATGTGTGAGGAGTTATCTATGCATGATTATCATGTCTTTACTCACCTACGAACAAAAGTTACAACTTCGGAATTTGAAACAGAATTCTCTTATCTCACTAATAATTCTACTAAAAAAAGTTACAACTTCGGTTTTTGAAATAGAATTCTCTTATCTCATTAATCATTTTACTGAGTCTTCCTGATTTCTTCAAGATCTATTGTAGTGATCTGATCAATGCTATTGAAACCCTTGTACGGGACCCTTACATTTCCAGAATGCTGAATGAGGTTTTTAAAGTACATCACATGGAAGAACTTGACGACATTTGATTCAAAACTTTTGGAATACTGAATTCGATGAGAGACGGGATCTCAATACATGGCGAGGCGACCTATCATCATGCCCACACACAAATAACAGAACATTTTTGACAATAGAGGAAGGTGAAGAGGAGAAAGGAAGGGAAGATGAAACCACACGCTTGAAGAGAGTAAGAGATTATACGCCGCAGTATTGGCCTGGAGAAATGAAACGAGTCAATAGTTGACCTTCCTTCATATTACTCCCGTCTATGATCTCATCAGCACGATGAAGCAGGAACTTCACGCGCCTCTTGCTGCGTCTGTGTCATGCAAGGCCTGATTGTCTGCTCTGGCTCGAACTTCTGTCCAACCCTCTGAGTCTTAGAACTCCCAATCCCCGTTCTAAGACTCTCCCTGACTCGTGCCCTTGGGTTGTGGGAATGACCGGAGTGACATTGCAGGCTGTAAACGAGCTTTTTGTACATGCGGAACCCTTCTCGTGCAGAGTTTGGTTGGGCGAATGATCGCAGTGGCATGGCAACTTGTGGGAGTGAATGTTGGTGTGCGCCTGCATGCGCCTGGATCGTAGGAGTGTCTTGTCTCCTACACCAGCGACTCGCAACATGATGGAACAGAACACCCTGGAATAAAGGCTCCTTCTAAACACGGGATTGTGATGGTGTGGACTCCTGCCACTCCTACTGCGGTCTCTTTTTATTCGTAGTCTTCCATCATGGCGAAAGGAAACCATCATTGAGTTTTTTGGTGGAACATGAGGGCTGTAAAAAGCTCCTATATGTACCTCCGAATCTACAGTCAAGTTCTCCAATTCGCTCGTTGCTACTCATCGCGGTCGGACAAAAGTTAAGACATTTGAGGCTGGAATCGTCCTCAAGATGATTGTATTAAGGAGTGTGGACATTTTCTTTCTGGAGTGAACGAGTATTTTATCTTGGGTGAAAGCACGAAATCATGCATCAACATGGAAAGGGGCGGTAGAGGGGACTGATTGCCCAGGAAATTTATGGAATCAGAGCAAACGTGTTCGAGGATTAGACATTGCTCAATACTTCGTGCACGTTGCCACTGTAGTCACTTTTCTTTTTCTTCCTTGAATCTCTCGACTTTACCAAATATTTTGTTCTTGTTTTCCAGAATGAAGATTTCACATTTTACACCTCTCCTGTTAAGATGCAATCGTGTATCGATTGACGAAGTGTTCTCAATCCACTGTTTCTGTGGTCATTAAAGACAGCACATAATCTGTGGTTTTACTATATCTCTGGCGAATAAAGAAAAGTATAATATTGCTCCTTGTACTGAATAGCATCTTGATCGCAGTAAGTCAAACCAGAATCTATAAGCAAGCCATGTAATTCCGTAGGCAAATCGTAAAAAGAGACCAAACGAGGTAGCACCACAGTCGAAAATATGGCGATCTATGAGGTTGAATGTCGACCATTTTATCTCTACAACATTAACAAACCTCATAGTTTCAGTGGAAACAATGTTGAGTAATAAAATGTGCTCCTCTAAAGAACAACAACAACTTCTTGGGCATGTTTGGACTGAAGTAGCTATGATGAAGAATGGAGTGATAAAGCTTTACACGCGGAAGTAGACGAGACAGAAAAGGGGACACGACATTACTACTCGACGAATGAAGAGTTTATTTGGATGTTTATATTCTCACGTGATTTTTATTGAAGTTATAGATGGAAAATTGATTTTTAGAAGTTCGTAAGAATGATAGTTAAGAATTTACATACATGCTGTCAACTCCCAAGTTATATATTCAGTAAGTTATATTAAAATTATTGTGAATATTCTAAGATTACACAATAACTAATGAAATATTTCATCCTGTTCTATTCCTCTAGTCTAACCATTGTATTATTGAATTGATTATAATATGATAATAACTTTTTTTATATTCAATCTATCATTGCAGCTACTTAGAAATAGTCAATTTTTACTCCAAAGTTAAATTTCAATACTTACGAACATATATCGATAAGAACATACTGATACTTTATGCTTATAACTTAAACATATTTGTTTAAATTTTAAATTTCAAGTTTAAAAACAAAATCACGCACAACATTTAAATAGAATGTAAAACTAGATCATACAAAGTTTGGATAGCTTTACAAAATGAATGATGAGAGATGTATGAATGATAATTTAGAAGATAACGGGGTCAAATGTTTAGCAAAGAAGTATTTTATCACCTCATTAACCCAAACATTGATGACACCGAACGATTACACAAGGCCTAAACATTGATAATAATGTCACAATGAATCTACTTCGTACATGATTTGATGAAAATATACAAATTGTTTGATTCAAATATTATACATGCATCATTAGCACTTCACTTTGTATTATCTGAAGTAATAATACTACCAT